ACTTTGAATCAGCTGTGTTCCAAGAATGCTGCAAGTTGTTTGGCATCCGAAAGACCAGGACAACGCCACTGCACCCCCTCGTCGCTTCGTGGCCAGTCTTATATATGCAAGACTACACTATATCTAGTAATCTCCCGACAATTCACGAAGGTTCGAGAATGACGTGGCGTGATACTAGTCATGTGACCTCGATGTCGTAATAGTTGTATTAATTTAGAAATAATTGGTTGCTGGTTGATATTGTAACCAGATTGCTGTAGATTCCAGTTTTGTTGACTAAGAAAACTTGAAAAAAGGTTGTATGGTAATTAATAGAACAATTAGATAAAAGCACTGTCTGTTGTTTCTTTTTGACACTATATGTTGGTGTATGAACACTTAATTGTTTTTTATGAACTTCTGAAAACAAATGTGAGTGGGGTGGACCCCTCACCTAGACCTGTGCTTGCTTATTCAACATTAAATAATACATTTATGCAATTATAAGTTAGAAACATAACACAATGTACAAAAATAGTAAAAATACAATTTACTTAATACTAAAATAGCCCAAGAGTTGGCAGTGGGTGCTGCCAGCTATTTGCTTTCAAAATGAGAGACGGTGGTAGATAGCCTTAGTAGTTTTTTTTTCATAACAAAGAAATATAACACCCTTCTGGCTGACAGAGTAAAAAAAAGTTTGGTGGGAATGGGAGCAAAACTTGAGACCCTCAAATAATGCTCCATACTGACCCAAAGCTGAACAAAATTGAAGAAAAAAAATTATAATGCTAAATTTGGTACTTGTAGAGGGGTCAGAGTACAGATCGTCCATTATGTGGCTTTATGCTTAACAACAAACATAATGGCAATATTTCAATTACTTGAATAGTTGTAATAATTCGAACATCTAATTTTGATTGGATGATTATTTTTGTGATATTAACTGTAATTTTGATTAATCAAATATTTCACACAACACTAATTGATGTAATTGCTGCTCATAGATAATTAGTTTAATCACCCGGCTCTTTACCACATCATCAGGCAAATCTACTGTCAAGTTTATAATTAACCAAAATAAATTTAAGGAAGACATGTTTACAGTAGTTACTACTCATTATATGTCCAGATTGTATTCATTAAATCCAAACATTAAGTTACATGTTATTTGTATAAAAGCAGTTGTTTGTTAATAGATACTGATACTCATAAGTTTTCAGATTTTTGTTCCATTAATATTTGAATTTTTTTCCATGGATAAAATTATCAGATACTACTGTAATTAGTATAACAGCAGTTTTGAAAAAATATTTGTTTTAAATATTTCAGAAACTTTAGGATAAAATAGGTATTTTCCACACAGAAATTTACCCTCTACGTTTTGCTATAAATTTTAGACAGGCATGGATATTCATGTTGTAACAACTATTTTGAACTTATTTTTTCTTAGTTTAGTGTTATAGAATATATATAAAAAATTTTTTTTTCAGTCTGCTTTAACAGACCATAAAACAATAGTAAAACATATAAAGTTTTCGAGGAGCAAATTGAAATACTTTTGCAATCATTTTGAAGGATTTGTGAAACTAGTATAAAAATAGTATAATAGATTATTATTAACTAAAATTGTTTTTTTCTAATGCAATATCAGATATATGAAAATTGATAATTTTTTATTGAGTCTTCAAACATGTCAAATACCTAGATTTTTATTTTTGTATTTCTTATTACAAAGTTAAAATGTGCAATATCATGTTAATTTAGAAGTATTAACACTTACTGACATTCTTACCATATGCAGAAATTTTGTGTGTGAATTGTTTGTTGTTTAAATAAGCCAGTATTGTGTATGAAACAACTCTCACAGATATTTTTAATTACTGTGAAGCAGAAAGACAGAAGCTTCAGTGGTAGGATGACTACAGTTTCAATGTTTGTAAAACTAGTTCCTGCTGATTAAAAAAACTGTATCTTGTATTGGAGACCTTGTTTTACCAGTAGAAAATTTAATTTCTTAGGATGAAGAAAGAAAAAGACGTGAAGAACTTGAAAAGATCCTTGAAGAAAATAACAGGAAAAGTGAAGATGCTAAAAAAAAAATGGTGAGTCTTGTTATGTCAGTATTTTAAGGTTTTCAGAGCATGTGATGTTTCTATTATAAGTAGGTTTCCTAAGTTTTGATTAAAGTTTTCATAATGGTCAAGGAATAAGAAAAAAAATAAATTCTCTGTCCAGTTTTTAAATATAAAAAGGGTTATATCAATAGTAATTGTTTGTTTTGTTTTTCATAGAACTATGATTAGATAGTCAGAAACATTTTGCACTTGTTTTTTTTTTCTCTGTGTTTTTTTCATGTATAATGTTGGAAATAATTATAGAAACAGTCAGGAAAAAGGTATAAAATGCAAATAAGGTGGGAATGCAACCCTTTAACATGTTAAAATGAATTGCACCAGTGTACAATCACATGTTGATAGCTTACACTGTGATTGGTTGTCATACAACTATTTCAAGAGTGCCACACTATTATAAAGCCTATAAAAGTAGAAGCAGTCAAATTATACCCAGTAGTAGTAGTAGTAGTGTGATTCAGTCACAGTTCCCAGGATTGAAAAGAGCACTTGTCAAGCTCTAGAAATCTAAGTTTTTGCTGGTCAAAGATACTTCATGTGAAAAATTGTATTAAGGCTCCATGTTTCGGTAGGTGTTATATGCAAAGAACTGAAGAGTAGAGTATATTCTTTACAAGATAGACAGCTATATATTACAAATATTCTCAATAATCTTGTTGCAAATACAGGTGTGAGAGTTACCTCAGTAATAGTAAAATACATATTAGCAAGAAACAGTCTCAATGGACATGTAGCTGCTTGAAAATGGCAGCTGTAAAGAGGTAATCAAACCAAAAAAAAATGAAATGGGTATGAGACAACTAACGATGGAATGAGCAAAGCTGGAGACATGTGCTCTTTACAAATGAATCCAAGTTGGAGTTGTTCAGCAACAGTCAATGATGGTTTGTTTGACAGTGAAAAAGAAAATGGCATCATAGTTAATGAGCAACATTTATAGTGAAGTATGGTATGTCAGGTTTTTATGTATATGTGGGCAGGATTCTTTACAGTAGGTGTCTGTCACTTGTTGGTAATAAATTTCAACAATAAACAGCACACAGTCCAATTGTTTTAAAATGATATATTAAAATAAGTCAAACATATATATCCAAATGTTCGTTAATTACCACAGTTGAATCTAGAACTTTAAATAATTCTCTTTCACGTCAAAAGTCCACACAGGCTGGTTCAGTTACTTCTGAACCCAATTGATAAGAGGAATTATTCTTCTCTAGTCTGTTATTACAATACAATCTGCAATTATTACACTTTAAAAGTTGCTACTATACACTATTTATAGCTAAACTCACAATCACCCAGTTTATATCTATCTTTTTTTCTTTTCCTTAACTTCCTATCACATTTTGTAGACGTATTTATAAATAGCCCAACTGAGGCCTAGAACTTTCTACACACTACTAGATATATGATGCAACAATACTTACTTAAATCAACAAGAAAAATTCACAAGGTTTGACTAACATGGTGTCAATTCACAACAATTGAACTACACAACAAATGATTTGTAAACAGTTACATAAGCAAACTTACCATAAGTATAACTTCTAAAAATAACTTATTAGGTCATCAAGAAATGAATGTCGCTGTTTTTTAAATGAAAAAACCCAAACAACTTGTATATCAAAACAAAACATTTATTAAATGAAATAGTCTCCATTTTTATCGATATTGTTTTTCCATCTTACAATCAGGTTAATGCCCTGATTAAAGAAATCACTTGGCTTTGAAGCAAAAAACATATTGATGTCCTCTTTAACAACTTCAATATTTGCAAACGTTTTCCCATCAAGATGGTGTTGCAGCGAACGAAAAAGATGGTAATCTGATGGTGCCATATCTGGATGATATGGTGGTGGTGGTGGGGGGGAGAACTTCCCAACCCAACTCCATAATCTTGTGTTGCGTCAAACATGGCACATATGGATGTGCATTGTCGTGGAGAAGAAGAACACTTTTCTGATTGACGAGTGAAGGGTGTTTCTGATGAAGGGCTTGATTTAAACGTATAAATCTCTGCATAGAC